AGCTCAGTGGAGCTCAGGCAGAAGCCAGTCTCCAAGATAACGGATCACGGAGTGGGTTAGCTCTGTCTTATAGACAGACCAAGCAGGATTTGCCTGAAATCCTTATCTACATGAAAATGTGGCTGGAAACATAAGACCATCATTAATTCCAGTCCATCCTTTTTTCAAAAAAAGGGTTTTATTTCTAATACATCTTTGTGTGTTTGACATGTGCCTGCAGGTGTGATGTGTACATGTGCATGTGTGTGCCCAAGGAGTCCAGAAGTGGGCATCAGATCTCCTGGCAGTTGTGAACTGCCTGACGTGGCTGCTGAGAACCAAACTCTGGCCTTCTACAAGAGCAGGAAGCCGTCATTCTAGTCTGTAAATAACAAGAAGAATAACGCTAAGCAAAAGTTCATAATCTGTGCACCCTGCAGAGTTGGGGTGGCATCCACAGATGCGGTGTCAGTATGCTGTGGTTCTCTCAGGGCGAACAGTTTTAGGCGTGACTGAAGCATGGATAACTGACAGATCCCTCATTTCATGACCTTCTGTAATAGAAGAAAGCATGTTTTCTGCACTTGGGTGGGGCACACACGACTATCAAGTCCCTTGCTTTTCAAATCGTTTGTAAAAATGCAAATGGTTACACGCGGAAAACCACCATTTACGAGCTCCTCCCATTTTAGTGTTTCCGGTAAGCTCCGCACTGGTGGTGTGTTGGCAGTCTGGGGACGTGTTGTTGAAAGTCCTGACTGCAGTTAATTAGGCAGCTTCCAGAGGAACTCTATTTGGTGTTCTCTACTGACTAGCAAAGCTGTGTGGACTGCTGCCACCGCTTTACCAAATGCCATGAAGTGGCACTTTAAAAATGATGAAAATGTTGCAATTTTGACTTCCAAATATTAAAATAACATGTCCTACCAAACAGAGAAGACAGCACCTCTAATTCTGTGGCCATGTGAATGTTGAGGGGACAAGAGAGGAGTCGGGTCACATGGGGTGGAAGCACAAGACTTCTTAGATGTGGTTAGCTTTGGCATGAGCTATGGTGGCTCCAATGATCACAGTGCAATCGTCAAAAATAAAAACCACGTGTTTGGTGTATGCCAACCCTGCCTGGATATCACATGTGGTGGTTTGAGGGAGAAATGGGCTCATGGATTTGAACACTTGTCCCTAGTTGGGGGAGTTTTGGAACCTTTGGGAAGTAGAGTCTTGCTGAAGGAAGTACACCCCTGGGGGCAGGCTTTGAGGTTTTGTAGCTTGACCCCACTTCCGGTTCTCTTTGTTTGCTTCCTGTGTGCAGAGGAAGTGTGGTCTCTCTGCTTCCTCACTTCCAGGCTAGCCTCCCGCGCCTACCCCATGCTCTCCCTACCATGACAGACTGCATGGCCTCTGAAACTACAAACCAAAATCAACCCTTTCTCTCCCACATTGCTTTTATTGTCTGTGTATTCTATCACAGCAACAGAAAGTTTAGTATATATTTTATATTATCTATATTATATTATATTATATTATTCTCATTGTTTTATACCTGAGTACAAATACTTCAAACGACAGTGTGCTGTCTATTTTTTTTTGTCAACTTGATAGAAACTAAAGGCAATCTCAACTGAGAGCACGTGTCTACAGATTTGTTAGACAAATCTATTGTGTATTTTCTTGATGAATGATTGATGTGGGAGGCCCAGGATATAGGGTGCAGTGCCACCTCTGGGCGGGTATAGGAAAGCACTCTGATCAAGTCAACATCAACAAGCCAGTAAGCAGCATTCCTCATGGCTTCTTCTTCAGTTTCTGCTTCTAGGTTCCTGCCCTGACTTCCTTTGATGCTGGATTCTGATGAGGAAGTGTACTGTGAAATAAACCCTTTCCTCCCCAAGATGCTTTTGGCCATGGTGTTTCATCACAGCAAATGAAACCTTAACTGAGGCAGGTTGAGATGAGATCTAGTACCCATGGGACTCCAGTTCTTGCTCATGGTGGGCAGCTGGTTCATAATCTCATTCCCGTCTTGATGGTGCATTGTGACACTACTCGGAGAACTAGAAGTGATTTCAGGAGCAAGTTGACCGTCCATGAAAGTGGAATATAACAATTTTAAATTATACCATACCATATAAATTTCCATTTAAAAATGATTTATTTTTATTGCCTTTATTTATGTTTATAAAGTGTGTATATATCTGTGTGTATATGAGCATGTGAGTGCAGTGCTCTCAAAGACCAGAAGGGGCGTTGAATCTCACTAAAACTGGAGTCATAGGTGCTTGTGGATGCCCTGACATGGGTGCTGGGAACTGAACTCAGATCCTCTGGAAGAGCAGCAGGTGCTCTTAACTGCTGACCATATCTCCCGCCCCAATTTTCAGTATAAGACAACTGGAATCGATGTTGGTGTAAGAAGTAAGATAGGATTCCAGCTTTTCTTTTTTTTTCCTTCAAATTGCTAGTTAATTATCCCAGATTTTGTATTAAGGATGCAATTAAAAAATGCATCCATTACCCAAAACTTTAAAGTGAATATTAATGAAAACTTGGAAAAAATGGTGGTCTGATTGTGTTGACAAATGTTCTTATTCTGATTAAGATGAATTTAGGCCTGATGAAGTCCTATAAGAAACAAGCCAGGAAGCTAGGAAAAGACAATCTCCCTATATGCAAACAGCTGCCTTGGGAGGGCCAGGGCACAGCACAACTGAAGCCATGGCAGAGGCAGGACAAAAACAGTGACATAGTCTGTGACGGACAGGGCGTCAACACAGCGTTGCCTGGTCAACTGCTCTGCGAGAAGAATCCATTTCCTTTCTGCCCCGGCAACCAAATCAGTCTCCACTGGTTATATTAGTTACTTCCCTACGAGGCCCAGTACTCACTGGTTATATTAGTTACTTCCCTACGAGGCCAAGTACTCACTGGTTATATTAGTTACTTCCCTACGAGGCCAAGTCCTCACTGGTTATATTAGTTACTTCCCTACGAGGCCAAGTCCTCACTGGTTATATTAGTTACTTCCCCATGAGGTCAAGTACTCACTGGTTATATTAGTTACTTCCCTACGAGGCCAAGTCCTCACTGGTTATATTAGTTACTTCCCCATGAGGTCAAGTACTCACTGGTTATATTAGTTACTTCCCTACAAGGTCAAGTTCTCACTGGTTATATTAGTTACTTCCCTACGAGGCCCAGTACTCACTGGTTATATTAGTTACTTCCCTACGAGGCCAAGTCCTCACTGGTTATATTAGTTACTTCCCCATGAGGTCAAGTACTCACTGGTTATATTAGTTACTTCCCTACAAGGTCAAGTTCTCACTGGTTACATTAGTTACTTCCCTATGAGGTCAAGTCCTCACTGGTTATATTAGTTACTTCCCTACGAGGCCCAGTACTCACTGGTTATATTAGTTACTTCCCTACGAGGCCAAGTCCTCACTGGTTATATTAGTTACTTCCCCATGAGGTCAAGTCCTCACTGGTTATATTAGTTACTTCCCCATGAGGCCCAGTACTCACTGGTTATATTAGTTACTTCCCTACGAGGCCAAGTCCTCACTGGTTATATTAGTTACTTCCCTACGAGGCCAAGTCCTCACTGGTTATATTAGTTACTTCCCTACGAGGCCAAGTCCTCACTGGTTATATTAGTTACTTCCCCATGAGGTCAAGTACTTACTGGTTATATTAGTTACTTCCCTACAAGGTCAAGTTCTCACTGGTTATATTAGTTACTTCCCTATGAGGTCCAGTCCTCACTGGTTATATTAGTTACTTCCCTATGAGGTCCAGTCCTCACTGGTTATATTAGTTAATTCCCTATCAGGTCCAGTACCTGGCAGGAGCAACTTGAGGTGAGTGGGTACAGTCACATCTATCACAGCAAGGAAGGCGTGGCCGAGTGAATCCATGGTAGTAGGAGCATGGTGGCTACTGCTTCTCCACGGCAAATCCGTTTGGGTGACTCTTCTCTGCCATCCAGGCCCCACTTCCTGAAGGTCTGGGAGTCCCAGGTGTCCAAACCCAGAAGCCTGTGGAGGGGTATCTCAACTCATAGCACCCACACAGTGGTTGTGTGTGTTCATTCAAGACAGGAGCTGACTGCACAGCCCTAGCTAGTCAGCCACTAGCAGCGAGCATCCTGTCTCTGCCTCAGGATATTTTTCGTCTGCATTTCTCTGTCTTCACTTTTTATCTCTCACTTACCAAGAATTCCCTTTTTTTAAAGCTTTATTTATTTAGTATGTACACAGTATTCTATCTGCATGTGTGCCTGCAGGCTAGAAGAGGGCACCAGATCTCATTACAGATGGTTGTGAGGCACCATGTGGTTGCTGGGAATTGAACTCAGGACCTCTGGAAGAATAGCCAGTGCTCTTAACCTCTGAGCCATCTCTCCAGCCCCCAAGAATTCACTTTTAAATTAGAAAATTATTACTAGAAATGAGGACCATTTTAAATCTTAAAGCTAAAGAAAGCAGTTAAGATTTTAAGCGGCTAGAAAATTTAGAAGAAGAATGTCTTTCAGTGTACATAATGACAGCTACTCTGTTTAATTATTCTACATTTATTTTATGCCTGTGTGTGCGTGTATGCGGGTGCTTGTGTGCTTCAGAGTGCCTGTGTGTGCATGTATGTGGGTGCTTGTGTGCTTCAGAGTGCCTGTGTGTGCGTGTATGCGGGTGCTTGTGTGCTTCAGTGTGCCTGTGTGTGCATGTATGCGGGTGCTTGTGTGCTTCAGAGTGCCTGTGTGTGCATGTATGTGGGTGCTTGTGTGCTTCAGTGTGCCTGTGGAGGTCAGAGGACAGCAATTCTTAGGAGTGGTTCTCTCCTTCTAGCATGTGTGTTCCGGGAATCGAACTCAGGTTGTCAGGCTTGGCAGCAAGCTCCTTTGCCAGCTGAGCCCTCTCACTAGCCTGCCAGCTATTTCCTTATGACACCTTGGTAAGTACTTGAAAAAACGTGTACTTTATTTTAATGACAAGCACACAAATAAAAAGGAAAAGAGCTGGTTTTAGGTATTTATTATTATTCTTTTAAAAAAGCAACTTCCAGGGTATACCATTGTACAGGTTCAGCCTAGTCTCCTACAGCACGGTACAGCGATGATCTTTCATAACAATGACTCGGAGGTGCTGAACATCCATAACTAAATTATCATAGAAAAAGAGAAGAGTCTAATGTTACGTGCATCCAGAAATCATATTCTAATGCGTTGAAATCAGTTCTCCAAGCATGATAGTGTAGCCAGACTCAGACAGCTAAGACGACAGCTGACCAGCATGCTCCCTTCCCTTCCCCCTGGTGAGTACGAACAGGCTTGCTAGGGTTTGCAAACGAATTCCACCCTTTTACACAGCGTGAATTCCTTCTGCTCCTGAACTGTTGGTCAGCATCTTACACTCATCCTTTGATGGACTTCCCACCACCACGTTGTGTGCAGGCAGCAAGTGGAGATCATGTCTCTGCTCCTCCTTAGGGTCCTAGTGAGACCCCCCTCCCTGGCTGAGAGCCAAGACTTCCCATTGGTTTGCGGGTAGCTTTGTCCCTGGTGCCTGGGAGGACCCTGTTTGTGAGCGAGCTGTCAACAGAGGGACTGACCGCAGTTCTCAGCAAGGCTGTCCTAGATGTTGTGTAAACGAGGGTGTCGTCAGTTCAGTAACTATTGGTACATTAAAGCGGTATAGTCGTGGGAAATCAACAAGCACAGCTTGGAGAGTAACCTGCCGTGAAACATCACTGGCTTTAATAATTTACTACAACTGTTCTTTTTATTCACACCTATAGGACGTGCTTCCATCTGTCACGTGGAATATGAATATATACAACAAAATTTGGCTTTTATATAAAAAAAAACTCCATAAGGACAATAACAAGGGGTCAAACAAATAACACACACGGTTTCCTAATTAGAACCACCATCTCCTGTTGCTTACAGGGAACTACATAGAACCGATGGACTTTGTAAACCAGGTAGACTTTCCTGCCCAGAGTAGCCTACTATGAAAGGTAGTAACCTTGTCCAGTTTCTAGAAACTTCTAACCATAATTCTGAATGACCAGGGAAGACATACTGAGTCAATTCTAAGGTCAAACCTTGCAAATTCTTCTCAGAATCACCATGTACCAACATTCCTTATTCCTCAGACACTTTACTATGGCCTCTTGGGAAACTGTACAGGGCACAGGGTGGCCTGCTGCCTTCCCTGGAGCCCACTTTTGTTGAACAGCAACGCCAGCATCTTGGTTCAAACTTTCTTATGGCCACACAAATGTGCAGTCGTGGTGTGGGGGGGGGGCGTTTTGTACTGCCAGCAGTCAAAACAGTAGCCAAGGGGGAGGGGGCTCATTGTCCACATGCTGTGAGCCTGGGGAGCCCATTCTCCTGGGAATGGGTGTCTGGGGCCCAGCAATGCCACCACCCTTGTTTAATGAGGGACTTGCACTAAAGAAGCTTTGTTCAGTAAGAGTAAGGGAGGTTGCGTCCCTAAGTCCTGAAAAGCAGGGCATGGCGAGGTCTGGGGTACAAAAGTGTCACCGCGGATGGGCCCTCATGGGTCATGGACTTAGGCACCCCTAGGTCGATTCTCCCCAGACAATACCTTTCATGCTGGTAGCTCACCCATTCTCCTCTGCTTCTTTAAGGTGGGGATTGCAAATAGTGTTTATCTCTGTCAATTCTAAGTGATGATTGACAGACCATTAGAGCTGCGGTTTGAAGTATTGTGGCAAAATATCATTGGGCTAAACTGAGAAGTAGTCCTGAGGCTAATTAGAAATGTCGCCTGGGGAACAGGAATTGGCACCTACAGAATGTGCCGCATCTGACGCCTCTGCTCTAAACAAGCAGAAGGAAGGAGGCTAACTTGTTCTTAAGGGGTCTTTGTGGACCGCAGCCTAAAGCACAGACACAGTCCCTAAACCTATTTATTTTCTATTTATTTTCAATTTTTTGTTCCAGCGAAGAGTTTATAGTTTTGGGTGCCTGAGACGGGAATTTCAGGACCCATGGAAAACTGAGGGTAGGAGCATGATTTTGGAGGGGCTGCACATTGCCTTTGACAATGACCTCTGTTTTCATGGGTGGGTGACAATGCCCAGAATTTACGTGAGGTTAGTGGGCTCACTGGTCAGGCGGCAGATGTGGAGGAATGGGATGGCAGTTCAGGCAGGGCTTTTCTGTGTTACATACAGAATGTGCTTCAACAACCGCTAATATTTGTGAGTAGATTGAAGGGCCAAGGAGAAACACACCTGCTTCTACACACAATGGCTTGTTTCCGAGTGAATCAATGGGGAATAGTTTTCTTATCAGGTCAGGACTACTGTCTCTCGAAATCTCCGGTGTACTGAAGATGGAGGACCTTGTGACCTCATGTGATCACCTCTGACCTATGCCAAAGCCAAACCTCTATGTGTAAGGCAAATCGTTAGCAGGTTGCCTCTGACAATGACAGAGCTTGGTGGTTTAGGGACTGTGCCTGGCTGAAGCCACCTCTAGATGTACCAGCTGGATGCTCCCATAAAGGATTGCTGATCGGTGTTAAGGACCGACTCCATTAGTGTCTCAGCATGGCAACACAACTTTCCCACCGCCAAGACTGCTTCCCTCCTCACCAGGAAACTGGGGGGTTTGGGAAGGAGAATAGAGCATGTGTTCTTATACAAGACATCCTGCAGATCCCCGGTGAATACCAGTCTGATGCACCCTGGGGACACCACACCTTTTCAGAGTTGCTGGCCAGTGCCCAGGGGTAAAGATGGCCTGGTTCCCAGTCCAAGGGTCAGGAGTCAAGTCATGGAGAAAGGTGGCATCCAGAATCACAACCAGGTTATTTCTTATCCAATGCTGCATTCCGTTCTCAGAAATTATTTTCTTCCTGGCCTCCATGGTACATGATCTGGTTGAGAGCATCTTGGCAGTGTAGCCATCTCTGGAACCTTCTTCTAGAGGTGAGGGGTCACAGGCTCGAAATGTGACTGCAATTGTCTCATTGTCTGTCTTCAGGCAGTTTTGTTTCCCATTTTGTTCTGCCCATCACGACTTGCTTTGAAATCGTGCCAGGTCAGTCACCACTCACCACCTTGGGCTGGGAAGATCTTTCTAACAGTAGCGGAACCTCCTCCTGGAGTTTCTCAGGCAGCCCAGAGCACAGACTTTGGGTTCTAGACAGAAGGTCTTGGAGGAGGTCGGGAGGGGGGTGGTGCCCTGTTAGGGGGCGGGGCCTGAGGAGGAGGGGGGAGAGTGGAAGGTGGGCAGGGGATGGGAGGAGTGGGGGCACTGGGGGCTGGGGGAGGGCAGTGGGGAGCAGGGGGTGGGGGTGTGTAGATAGGAGCAGGAGGTGGGGAGCTGGGGTGGTAGGCGTTGTTGAGGGGGTACTTGGCGGCCTGAGTGTTCTTCACTCTGGTAAAGTTGATGCAGCGCCCCTGGAAGAGAATCAGAGGAGGAACATGAATGGATGCTCAGCACGGTGGACACCGCCATGTTGCCTCTGACCTGGCGACCTGGTGCTCAGCACCGTGGACCACCACCATGCTGCCTCTGACCTTGCGACCTGGTGCTAAGCACCGTGGACCACCACCATGATGCCACTGACCTGGCCACCTGACAATACACTAGCCACTGGTCTCTTTGAATCCTTTCCCTTCCTGGTCCAGCTGGGTCTCAGATTGCTCCAGTCCCTTTCCCTTACAGTCTCTGACCTTCTTGGGTGGGGAGAGAGGAAAGATGGCTGGCACTAGCTGGACCATAGCGTTATGGAGGGTGTCACATTTACTTTTAGCCTTGCCAGTAGGGTGTGACCAGCATTCCCTTCCCTGGAAAGAAGTTGAGGTTGAGAAACAAGAACCTTTCCCTGGCCCTTCACACCAGAATGCTTTTTTTTTTGAGGGGGGTGTGTCCGGTCACAGGACTCTTTTTAGACCTGTCCTTGTAAGAAATTCAGCAAAGACATTTCATTGATGAGTGTGTCTGTCTCCCAAACTTGGCTTCTTTCTTCATGTGTGGCTTCCTAGGGACTTAATAGGACAATGCTGAGAGACCCCTGTCCTTCCCCCAGACTCTGGAGATCACAGAGCCTGGAGCAGGCCTGAAGCAGCTCATCTTCGGCTGTGACCACCTCCTTCTTTCACCAGGCACCTGGCCCCCCACTTGCCCCATGGTAGGATCTCTTATGCATGTTACCATCTGTGTGAACTCCCTGATAAACTCCTCCCACACTGCCAACCAGGCCAGGGAGATGGCCACCCTGTGTGTTCCTGGCCTCCCTTGGCTTCCCAGGCTCATGGGTCATCTGTGGCCCCCAGCTCCCCACATTAGACCCTAGGAAAGGGCCAGAAGGGGAATTCAGGGTGCAGGCTGTAGAATTTAAGGAACAAGTGTGTGTGTGTGTGTGTGTGTGTGTGTGTGTGTGTGTGAGAGAGAGAGAGAGAGAGAGAGCATCCTGAGATCAGGAAGATGCAAGCTTGTGGAGGATGGGAGATAAGACCCTTTCCTCTCCTGTGTGCCCCATCCTTCACGGCAGACGTCCATCTTCCCGGGAAACTCTGGCCCCCACTCTTTATTTGCTTTCTTGGGTATTTTTCTAGTTACTGTCCTTAGCCACATCGTAGCCTGCAGACTGCAGCTGTTTTATCTGTAACTGCTTAGCCTCTCACGACAAGAGGAGACACTCTGCTTTTCTACAAGAAACCTCCCAGGATACTTTGAGTGGAAGGTCTGGAGAGTCACAGTCAGAATGGAGTTGTATGAAGTCACATGGGAAAAGCAGAGGCTTTGGGAGCATTAGCAATAGCCTGGAAATTCCTTTCCAAGACATCATGCTAGCCAGAGTGTCCGGCTCAGAAAGGGCTGGACCTGACCAGACTCTATCTGTTTAGGAATTATGACGTCCCAACAGGTGCCGGCGCCGAAGTCCTTGGTGTGGGTCTATCACAAGGTGAAGCCAGGTCCAAGCTTTCTTGGGGCTCCACTAACTCCAGCAACCACCTGGCGTCTTCTCACTTCCCCTCCCAGAGAGCCCAGCTCTGGCCAGCTTGAAGGGTGAACTCGACAACTGTAGTCTCCACTGGCCAGGCCACTCTCTCTCAGAGTTGAGTGAAGCTGAGCCCTGTTACAGTTTTCTAACGACATTGTATAGGGCTCTTTCCCTCAAGTGCTATGACTGTCTGCCATAAAGTCCCACAGTGACAACCCAGAGTAGGGCTCTCCGGAGCCACCTTCTCTGCCTTCCTTCCTAGACACCTAATGTGTACTGATAGCTTCAGGAACCACGGTCCCTTTAAAGATGGAGATTCTGGGAAGCTGGAGTTTAGGAGAGGACCCCCTCTGCCTTTGGACTGTATAGTTGTCTCTGGGTCAATTAGTCCAGAAGGCCACGTGCTCACTGTGCGGATGAGCACACGGCTTTCCCCAGAGGTTCTGTCTGCAGGTTTGGGAGCTCCTGGCCCTCCACCAATGTCTGCTCAGAGCCCATGCTGGGAGACCAAATCCGTGATGTAGACTGGGGCTCTGGAGAACACCGGCTGCCTACAGGCACAGTGGGCGTGCTTCAGCCACCCTCAGGGAAGGGTCTAGAACAGTGTGGTGTAACACACTTGGGAAATAGCTGAATTTGGTGCTGCCCTCTGCTGCTGGGGAAACAGATGTCATAGGCAGACATGGCCTCGCCTGTGGAAGATATGCAGCTGGATGTAGGTCTGACTCCAGGTTCAGGACTGAGCTGCACACCACTCAAGGCTTCTATGGTAGAATTAGTAAACAGGGAGTAAGTGAAACGCAGTCAGGCAGGGATGGAAGAAGCCTCAGTGGCCCCTCCTGCCTCCCTGTTGCTACATAACTGCTGTCACTCCCGCTCGCAGGACCTCCCACAGTGCTTTGCACACGCAGCTGACAGATACATTTGTACTTATCTTACTGAGAAAAGGTGCAGACTCAGCACCAGTGTACCCTGGAGCACTTTACAGTAAGACCGGCTCTTCAAAGAGAGGCCTGGCCCCCCGAGAGTTCTAAAAACCTGGGCCAGAGGCGCCGGCACAAACATGAGCTACTCCGAGCATAATTGGCCTAAAGATCAGTTCGCAGGGCATTTTGTTTCCCCTCTCACTCTTAGTTTTCGCTTGTGAGGGGATAATAGAAACACCAGATGTCGTTAGTGTTGTACACGCCAGCAGATCTCCAGTGTTTGCTTAAAAGGTTGCTATGGCGACCAGAGCTTTCTCTCATGATACTGGCCCCTTGCAACTCTGTTTAATTCTCTGCAGCACTGTTTCTGGGTGGTTTGAGTCATATCCAAAGCTGGCTTTGACCTTAGTTTACCTTGCCTTCTTTATTAATGAAATAAGGATGCCATTTTTTTTCACACACCAGTAGCACGCGCTCTAATAGAATTTTTAGTTACTGGTGTTTAGCCTGCATACATGCCTGTATACCGTGTGTGTACCTGGAGATCGGAAGTTGTTAGGTCCCCTAGAACTGGAGTCACAGAGGGTTGTGAGCTACCACATGAGTCCTAGGAATTGAACTTGGTTGTTCCTCTGCAAGAGCAAGCAGTGCTCTTAACCACTGAGCCCCCTCTCCAGCCCCTTTGGTAGAATTTTAAGAAGACCTGGGGATAGAACTGAATGGTAGAGCATTTGCCTAGCACCCATGAGATCTTAGCCTCAATCCTCAGTACCATAAACACAAAAAAGCCAAGAGGAAAATGTAACAATCTCTTGTAATACAATGGGAGGGTTATCAGAATACCCCCCCCTACACAGTCTATGAAGCATCCATGAGCACTTCAACATCCTATGAGTGAGGCATCATTGTCTCCACATGGAGAAATGAAAGGGAGGGCTCAGGCCTATTTAAATAATTTGTTCAAAACCACACAGGCAGCAACAGGTGGGGTGGGAATAAAGCCTAGTTCTGCATGGCCGAGGAAGGCATTCTTTTTACTATTATCCTGGCTACGAATAATAAGTGCAAAAAGATTCCCGAAGGACCAATGGCTAGCTTTACACAGTGTAGCACTTGGCCGCAGTCCGTGAACTCGCCACACAGATGTGAGAGGTTGTTCCAGAATGTAAGTCTGTCTGCTCAGTTCACTCTCTTAACGCAAAGTTCTTCACAGCCTTCAATGCCATGGGGTCCTGTGACTCTGGCCTCACTCTACCTACAGGACGTCCAGCCTGTCTTGTCCTCAGGTCTGTGGACACCTTTCAGTGGCATGGACAGTACTCGCTGCTGGTTTCACATGTCTCCCCTTGAAGCCAGGGCTCCTAATAAAACCTCAAGGTCCAAGTCGTCACTTGATAAACAATCCTTACATAGCTGTGGGTCTCTGAGCAGGAGATTTTTAAAGCTCATCTAGTCCTCACAAGCTTGCTTTTTTTAGAAGTCCAGGCTATGACGACTGGGCTATCTAGATATCCCTAAGTTATCTGCCATGGGTTCTCTCCGTTCTTGGGGAGACATAATGAGGATTCTATGTGCTCCCTTCGGTCTCTCCACACTTCCCTCAACGGATTTCTTGTAGCTCAGGCTAGTCTTGATCTTGCTATATTGCCAAGAATAGCTCTGTTTCTATTCTGAATTGTAGGCCATACAAGCATGTACAGCCACACTTTTTTATGTCATGCTGGGGATGGAACCGAGGCTTAATTATGTTTTTAAAGGTAATTGTCCTCCTAACAAATCCCTTTGCCTAATTATGGTGTGGTTGGGACGCAGGGTCCTGCTGACCACATTCAAGGTTTCCCTTGAACTGTAGAGGGTATGGAGACAGGGAACTGAGAGTATGGGACTGTGGTCTGTCGGGGTCTTTGCTTTGTCCCTAACACACTCTTCCTGTGAGACCTGGGGAACGTCACCCTCTCGGAGGCCCTCTCTTCCTTGGTCTTCTGTGCTGGCTAGATGTGGCCAAGGGCCCTTAGTCCTGAGCTCGATGATTTCATCAGGTCTGGGTGGCTGCAGAATCCTCCGCCTGCAGTTTAATTAGATTCTTTTGGGCAGCCAGTTTGCACATCTTTTCATGTTGCTTAGCTTGGCTAGCTCCAATCCTGCCTTTGTACTGCATATCTTCCAGCTGTTTTTTAGAGTTTTGAAATATTAGGAAATTGGAGATTTCAGCATAGGAGGCTTCACCTTCCACGCTTAGGCAGCTCTTCTGAGGATTCAAGCTGGCCCCTGAGTTCTGAGTTTGAGCTGTGGGATGCTGGGGAGCTGGGAGAAGAGCTTTGGGGTGAGTGTGTTTGAGAAATGTGCCAGGGGTGAGCTCATGTATGCTGAGTGTTAGGAAACATCTGGCTCTCAGGCACGCTCAGCAGAGATGGAGCTGGCCTTCGGAGATGCTTAAAAATACGCCACGGCTCCCACAAACTAAACCAAATAGTTTCCTATGAGCAGAGGTCATTCAAGGAAATTGGATTTCACAGAGAGGATA